TAATAATAATAATAATAATAATAATAATAATAATAATAATAATAATAATAATAATAATAATAATAATAATAATAATAATAATATTGTGGATTTCAGCGTTTTTGGCAATCTTGGGTAACAAAACCTGAAATAATAACCCCCATTTTGGGCTGAGTACCTAATACATCTCAATGACGTTTCTCTATAAAAAATAAATCAGAAAAAATATAGCCACACGAAATCAGTAGGAAACATACGAAGATACCTTCGTTGAGGAGGCTAATATGCAGATAATGGATAAACACTGATAACCATCCATTTAGATAAGGAATCTAAGCCTGGAATGGCACTCTGCAAAGTGCTATTCCAGCCTTAGATCATTAAATAACAGAGCCAGATTATGACATACTCGACTGACTTTCGGTGGAGAGTCGTGAGTCCACAGCTGAATCCGATTGAAGTTTGCTTCGGACGACTAAAGAGATATATTCAGAAGAAGGCCAACCTAGTCTTTCCACTCCATCCTGAATTGGTGTTGAAGGTTGCCATGAGAGAGTGTACTAGAAATCAAAATGTCTCTGGTTCTACAGGAGAATATGCTCATTGTGGCTGTGCAATGGTGAATTGGACGATGATGTTTTTGATAATCTTTGTAATCCTAATAATGATGATTGACTCTAGTCTTGATTATGGTGATCTACATCTTCCATGTCAGCTCCGTCTGGAAGAACTGGATGTGTATACTCATTGTAGATGCCTTGGTGGAAGCAATCATGGTTTGGAAGTGAAAGAGCCTGACGGAGCAATAAAATGTTCATACAAATCATGGCCTTGGTACCACCGAATAGCTCAATTTCGACAGGCCTGTACACACTGTTGCAATTGGCTAGAGCCTGAGCATCCTCATTCTTCAATTGCGCTCAATCGCGATCGAGTGCTTGGGCTTGGTGGGTTGTCGCATCTGTCGGAATCGCAAACTCTGTGCCTTCGGGGGCCCTTGCATTGAATGTTGCCAAATGTTGTTCAGCAATTGGTCCAATTTGTAGATTGTTTGCTGCTGCATGCTGGCGAAGCCGTTCCCTCTGAATTGCAGGGGCAGTGGCTCTTCTTAGTCGCTGTACTTGAGCGGCCTGACGTCTTGGAACGTAGACAAAGGGTATTAGCTTTTAACTTCAGAAACTGAAAGCCATCAGGGTCGGGTTTAGCCCCTTTATTTGGTGGGCAGAATTTCTAATAATAATAATAAGAAGAAGAAGAAGAAGAAGAAGCGGTGAACAATACGGCGTTGAGGCGCCAGAGCGCGGCGACCAGCTTCAGCCACTCTTCCCTATTGACCAACGGCTTGATCAACGCAGTTTGGCGTTTCACAGCGAGCATGCGTCGAACTACCTTAGGGAGGTCGGTTGGGCCCTTATCAAACTGAGAGTGTATACCGTCGTTCACCAATCGGCTACGTTCGCGTAGCTGTACGTTGTCCTCCGAATGTTGCACCGAGTTCCGGTGTTCCCACATATGAAATCCAAGCAAGATCAGCTGATGCAACAGGCGAGAGACCCACAGGGTCGGAGAGCGTTGGCTCCCTCTTGACTGAAGGTACTGTTCCTGCAGGGGCGTCCACTGAACAGACAGCCGGCCTTCCAATAAACCTTGGTAGCCAATGCGTTGTTGAGAGAGGAAAGCTTGGCAAAGACGAACCGGAACCAATTGACTGCGAGGTAGGGACGGATCACGAACCCCTTGAAGAAGGTAGAGAAGAGTGTGTTTGATGGCTGGATCAGTGACTTGAGTGTCCAGCCATTGGCCCAATGACGCCGTCCGGCAATCCCATTCCGCACTAGCCAAGGGCGCCGTACATCGAGGAACGTGAAGGTGGTCCTCAAAGTCGCCGCAGCAAGGACATGCAGCTGAGTCTGCGGAATTCCCTACACCACACATACCCACGACATGCTTTGTGGTCCAACATTGGACACCCGCCAGAAGGGAGCTCATGGCGCGAGCCAGACTGGTCCAATTGGTCTCCAGTTCTGCCTCCGGTGTAATCATCTGCGGCTTGTGCCATTGCTTGCGTAGAGCAGGCAGCGCCACAAGTTCCTGGACCTGTTCTGGATTCAATCGCGACTGTTTGACGTCCCCAATGTAAAGGGTAGAAAAAGAAAACACAAAAAACAAAAAACTTGCAAACGGTCTTCGTAGCCTAAGTAGCAGAGTCTACGTAGAACTTGCTGAAGTTTTTATCAATTCAATGGCATTTCACTGTTTTACAATGGGGAAGTCTACATCACTGAAGGTTGTCTCAACGACTGCCAACAAGGTGGGCGGGTCCACACCCAAATCGGTTGATTTAGGTCAACCTAAGGACAGGGATCCTACTGTCAACAATGATTCGGAGATTCGAGAGCTGATCGCATCTCTCCCACCACTGATCGACTTTGGGTTATCTACTCACAAATTGATTGCTATCAGGTACAACTATAATTCAACTAAGATTTTGTTTGGCAACTCCACTTTCAATCAATGGATGGATAATAATAATAAATCTGATGCATTAATCATGTTAAAACTATCTCAAGTTTCTAGATTGCCGTTAACGGCTGTCATGGCCATTTACCATACGGAGGTGAGTCCAGTACTGTTGAACCAGTTTGAGG